AAAGCCTCAGGGGGAAAGAGAAAACTCTTGAGTCAAAAAAGTTTGTATGCCCTGGCCATGACCTTAGAGAAGGCTCTGGATGTGCTCTTCATGCTTCCTACTAATGGTGCCATAAACACATAAACAACCCCTCATTTGTGCTTTGTATAACTTTTGTTGCCTTTTGACCTCATATATACCTTATAACCTTTTGGCCTTGCCTATCCCTGTAATCTTTTGGCCTTGTGAAATGTCACATGCCCACTGACTAAGACTTGCTTTGTGTGTATGCCATATATGAGTAGGTAGTTTCCCCTATTAAATTTTGTCTATATCCACATTGTGTAATTTGCTTTCTGCCCAGGCATCCCATTCCCAGGTCTAGCTGTGTGAATAGCAACAGTTGCTAACTGGAGATAAAATTTCATGGGCTTTTTTCTGCCAGGGCAGATGTCAACTTCCTGAGAAACTAGATTACAGGTATGAGCTGCTGGTGCCTAGATTGAAGCAAATTTTTAAGGTTGTAGAATGAAAGCTTAAGAAAGTACAGCGAATTACTCTCCATTAGTGTGCCCAGGAACACTCTCCATGATTTACAAAAGAATTACCTTTGGATATGAAAATGTGTGTCTTTTAAGCTCCTTAAAGCACATCAAAGGTAAAGAGAGTGGGCTGGGAAGGTGGCTCAGTGGTAGAGCGCTTGCCTTGCATGCCTGAGGCCTTGGGTTTGATTCCCCAGCACCACATAAGCAAAAAGAAAAAAGCCAGAAGTGGCACTGTGGCTCAGGTGGTAGAGCACTAGCCTTGAGCTGAAGAGCTGAGGGACAGTGCCCAGGCCCAGAGTTCAGGCCCCATGACCGGACCCAAAAAAAAAAAAAAAGGTAAAGAGAGTATCTTTCTATTGTGTATAATCAATCTGGCCTTATGGGCCACTGCTACATCCCCAAAAATAATAGTTCTGAAAAGAGGACATTTGAAATCTTCCTTTTACCTTTGCTTTGCTTTCCTTCCTTTGCCTCCTATAGGGTCCTTTTCATAAAGTTTCATATTCATATTGATAATTGTTATATAATAACAATGATCACATCTGATGTTATATTCAGTGTAAAGGAAAATCAATATTGTATTTAATAAATGTAGAGTACAAATTCTTTTACAGTTCAGCCCAAATAGTTAAATGCAGATATTGAATTTTTCCAATACTTAGAAATACCTGACACTATTGTTATACTATACAAAATCTACACAAAAACATAGGAGATAAGAAAATGCTAGCTTGCTCGGTGCGAGTCACTCACTCCTATAATCCTAGCTACTCAGAAGGCTGAGATCTGAGGACTGTGGTTCTAAGCCAGCCCAGACAGGAAAATTCCCTGAAACATCTCCAATGAACCAAAGAAAACCAGAAGTGGAGCTGTGGCTCAAGTGGTAGAACACTTTCCTTAAGCTGAAGAGCTAAGGCACAATGCCCACACTCAGAGTTCAAGACCCACAACTGACCAAAAAAAAAAAAAATGCTAGCAAAAGAATTACAAGAAGGTACTAAACAAACAATAGTAACCCCCCCAAAAAAAAGATTCTCACTGATTAAAAAAAAAAATAGTAACCCCAAGGAGTAACTGTACAATTCAAATAGTTTTGTAATCCTTAAAATAATTTAAGGCCAGTATGATAATTAATGTCTGTAATCCCAACTCTTTTAGAGAAAAAGATTGAGACATCTTGGTTCAAGAACGTTGAGGCTAGGAATGTAGCTTAGTAGTAGAATGCTTGCCTCAATAAAAAAAGAAGTGCTGCTATGGCTTAAGTTGTAAAGCCTTGAGCACAGAGAGGCTCAGGGACAGAGCCCAGGCCCTAAATTCAAGCCCTAGGACCAATAAAAATCAAACAAACAACAACAAAAAAAAAACCCTACAAAACTTTAGTAAAAAAACTGAAACTGTCTCAAAACCAAGCCAGATGTAGGAGTATATGTCTATATTCCCAGCTACTCAGGAAGGAGGATTATGACCTGAAATCTCAGAATTTTTGAGATTCTATCTGAAAATATATGTGAAACAAAAAGGGTAAGGAATATTGCTGAAGAAGTATAATACTTGCTTGGCAAGTGTGAAGTCACAAGTTATAAAGGCTATTGCTTCCAGAGGGAAAAAATTTAATCTGTAATATAAAACACTAAAAAAGAGCAGGGCACCATTGGCTCAGGTCTACAATCCTAGCTACTCAGGAGGCTGAGATCGGAGGATCACGGTTTAAACCCTGGACAAGAAAGTCCGTGACACTCATCTCCAATAAGGCATTAGAAAACTGGAAGTGGCACTGTGGTTTAAGCAGTGAGCTGAAGAACTGAGGGATAGTGCCCAGACCCAGAGTTCAAGCCCCATGACTAACCAAAAAAATAATTAAAAAAGAAAGGACAAGAAGGTACTACTGGATAATTCTACTGAATATTAAAGGAATTAATAAAAATTTTATATCAGTGTCTCAATTTTTACATCATAACCTGATAATGATGTTGTTCATGGTAGTATTAAAAGTGAAAACTACAGGCTAGTGTCTCTCATCTCTGACAACATAACAATAAAAATATATTAGACTATAAGACACAGAAATTACAAAAAAATAAATCATGGTTCAGACCAGCTTGGACCTAAATGTAAACTACCTCAAAAATAATCAGGCTGGGTGGGGAGGGAGGAGAGGATCGGGTCAGGGGAGGTGGGGGGAGTATGGAAAGGGATGGGAAGGGGAAACAAAGAGGAGGCAACAATGCTTGGTCAGAAATGTACTCGTTATCTTGCCCATGTAATTGTAACTCGTCTGTATGGTATTTTCACAATAAGAAAAAAATGATCAGGCTAAAAACTAGCAATATCTAATTAATTATACAGTCAAATTTATTTTACTTTAGGAAGAAGTATGTGTTGTGCAATGTAGGTCTTATATTAATTTCTTTAATTGAAAGACATCTGGGGAAAGGGTTGGACATGACTTAAGAGATACAATACTGCCCAGAAAACTCAAGGCCCTGAATTTAAATCTCATTTTTGGAAGGGGAAAAAAAATACATACAAAACAAACAAAAAACTAAACTAGTGGCCAACTAGTAATGAAAGGAATTTATTCTTGATAAAAGCCTCTCCAAAGCCTGAAGTATAACAATGAAAGATAGAATGTTTTCTCTTATGATTGTTTATGAAGCTATTATGTCCTTTACTGCAATAAGAAAATACATAGAATGCAAAAATGTAAAAAGGACTTAACCCTCTTAGATCACATAATTGAATGCTAAATTTTAAAGCCTAAAAAGCTTTCAAAAAGTTGATAAGTTGATTAAACGAGTTCACCATCAATACATACTTCCAAGTAATAATGTTTCCTTCATTTCCTATTCATTTAAACATTTAAAAATAGGTGCCAAAAAACAAGATATATGTCAGCAATAACAAAATATAACCAGTTAAGAAAAGTCATTGGTAGAATTCTAAAATCTTTTGTCTTTGATGGCTGATCTGAAATTTTTGCATGGGGTAAAAAAGGTTTGACTTTATTGAACAATGTTAGAATACACAAATAATAGCATTTAAAATATTCAGAAACATTTACTTAAGTAAAGCTGTAGTTATTTCCTTCTGAATTCCATTAAGATAATTAATGTTAACAGATTACAGTATTTGAAAATTACCTTAAAATGATACAGGTGGACCTGTTGCAACAATGAGAAGTACAAGTTGTCATGTCCAAAACGAGCTTTACAACGTTGGTGGGGGGGGGGGGGGGGGGGAGGGGGAAGGAGAAGGATTAGGATTAGGGGGGGAGGGGGGAGGCTAGGAAGGGATGTGAAGGATAAACAAAGGAGGAGGCTGCAATGCTTGGTAAGAAATGTACGCATTATCCTGCCCATGTAACTGTAACTCCTCTGTACAGTATGTTCACAAATAAAATTAAAAAAAAAAAAAAGAAAATTACCTTAAAATAAAGGATTTTCATACTTTGGTTTTACAACTATTTCTACAAAGCATTCCAAGACTGTATAAAAAAGATACCCTTCCTTAGGATAATTTACTTCTAAAAGTTATCACTTTGGGAAGTGGCGCTCTAGCTCAAGTGGTAGAGTAATAACCTTGAGCTTAAGAGCTGAGGGACAGTGTCCAGACCCAGAGTTCAAGCCCCACGACTAACCTCACCCCTCCAAAAAAAGTTATCACTTTGAGTTCTAAAAGAAAATGGGGGGTGGGGGGGAGGCGGGGCGGGGAAAGGAATGGTGCTGGTATTGGAGTTTTCATTTAAACCTGCTTTTATGCTCAAAGTCAGTGATCCACTGCTTGAGTCATACGCCACTTCCAACTTTTGGCTGGATAATTGGAGTGTTTTGGATTTGTCTGCCCAAAGGTTCAAGCTGGCTCTGAACCTTGATCCTCAGATCACAGTGTTTTAAGTAGCCAGGATTTTGGGTGTGACCTATCAGCATTTGCATAAAAAGATTCTTAATCCATTATACCAAGTATTATTATAAAATATCTTCTGAAATTTTAATCACTTTATTACATTTTAACTCATCACTGAAGTTTCTAAAGAATAAATAAGAAAATGAATATATATGCCAAAAACTTTAGAAGTAAAGGGTATGATAAGCCAAGTATTATTGTAAAATAAGATTATATAGTTAAATAGATGTCCATATGAAATAAGTCTTCATAGAACTTGCTAAAATTAGTGATTAAAAATATTAAAATAGCTTCATCTCCCTAGTCACACCATACTGTATAAGCAGGGAAACATGGAACTTTAATCATCTAATTTTAAAAATAATTGTCAATATATTTGCTCTGCAAACAGAAGTCATCACTTTAAATCTCTTTTCCATTAAATATTCTATGTGATAAAACTGATCAAAGCTACATAATGTTCAAGTCTCAACTTGAAGTCTCAACTTTACTCTAGGTACTATCAACAATTTTTTTTCTACTTAACATTACAGAAGTTGTCACTTAATATAAAATGAGACTAAAAGAAACTTGAAAAATAATCATACTTGTGTTTGGTAGGATGTTTTATATCAGGCACCTTAAAAGCAATCACAGATGTAAAAAATTAGAATTTGTTTTTACATAATTATATATTGAGATTTGTCTCTAATATACATTTGTATAGTGCACACACACAAACATACATTTAAAATATATATTCTTTAAATTAAAAAGAAAACAGAAACTGGGTCTTTGTAGAAAATCTTCAATACTCAAACAGTGGAAAACCCTTTAAACATTAAACAATTTTAATAAAAGTTTCTATACAATATTAAGCAGTTTTTTTACAATTAAAAAACGTAATAGTATTTATTTAAAATTACAATACTCCATATTTAATGGCAAAGTAAGTGTGGGAATAATAACAACATTCCAATCACAAATATTTTCAAGCAATAAATATGCATTTTATAAATACTTTAATTGGTTCAGATTAGAAGCAAAGATCAACCATATCTATTCTTTAGTATGTGCAATCCATTATGTTTGTATCTTGACTATTAACTTCTTTTATTTTAGAATCATAGATTAAGCATCAGGGTCTTAAAACAGGAAACCTTAAGTTGGTCAAAAATTTGATTTAAATTTGTCAATCATCCTTCAAAGAACTGACCAGGTAAACAGTAATCCAGACAGACAGTAATTGTTTCCCTATGAAAATTCTGAAGGGCTAAAATGCAAATAAAAACTAACATATTAGCCAAAACTGCACAGACATAATAAAGCAGTAGTTTGTACAGCTCTGATAGTTTGGTCAGATATACACATAAATCATATAATTATTATTTTATAAAATGTCAGCCAAGTTGGCTTTGTTAAACTTGGAATAAAGGCAATGTATTCTTTGTCTAGTTGCCTAATCTTTTAGTCTCAAAAGGATGCATAGACAGAATTGAGTCAAAAAATCTTACGAATAGCTAGAAAGCCAGTGATATTTCCTGAAGAGTAGAAAGGTCTTGGTGTTCCTAGAACTATATTAAGATGAAGAGGATGATAAAGAAGGAACCTGAAAATAAGAATGATATATATTAATAGTTTTGTCACATAAAGCTGTAAGAGAACTTGTTGCTTATGGCTTTAAACAAGTTAAAGCTACTTATGAAGTGAGTTTGAACAAAACACTTTACCTCAACAGCTAGCTAAGTAAGATGTTTTTACTATTTATACTCGAGAAAGTTTTCCAAGACTTAAAATAGGACATGGTCAAATGCTAGAGCACTCCTGCCCAGGCTCAGAGTTCAAGACCCACGACCAAGAAAACAAAATAAAACAAAAGTCCCAACATTCCGGTGGAATATTAAATGGAATATTAAATTCTTACTAGTAAGTGATCTAAACCTGTTGCTATTAACGTTTTATCTTTCCAGCAAATATGTCATTCAATAACAACTATCAGAAATAAAATTTCAATGAACGTGGCATTGTGGCTGAGGACAACACCTAATCCCTGTGTTCAAGCCCTAGGACTGGTGAAAGAGAGAAGGAAGGAAGGAAGGAAGGAAGGGAAGGAGGGAGGGAGGAAGGAAAGGAGGGAGGGAGGAAGGGAAAAGGCAAAATAAGATTTCAAATTTAGAACAAAAGGTCCTGGAAACATATCAACAGGCAATAGCAAAAAATGGAGAGATGCCTGGGCACCAGTGGCTCATATCTGTAATCGTAGCTTCTCATGAGGCTGAGACCTGATGATCACAGTTCAAAGCCAGCCAGGCAGAAAAGTCTGAAAATAAGACCTATTTCCAATTAACCACTAGAAAATCAGAAGTGGCACTGTGGCTCAAGTTGTAGAGAGCTCACCTGAGCTGAAGAGCTGAGGTACAGCGCCCAGGCCTAGTTCAAACCCCATGACATAAATAAATAAATAAATGGATATTTCACTCAAATGGTAGAACTGAAACAGTAAGTGCAAGACTCAGAGTTTAAGCCTCAGTACTGATTTAAGCATATATATGTATATATACAACTATATGTCTAATGCAAGTATAAAATAGTATATAATATACTGATGTATATACTAATTTAATAATATGTTAGTATGTACATATTCATATGTATTTATATATGTATGTATATGTTTATGTGTGTATGTATATCTCCTATGTGTAGTACCCTCCCAAGTCAGGCTCATGTGACTTACATATGTATTTTTTAGCTATTCAAGAGTCCAATCGTGAATAGCTAAAAGCTACTCAAGCTAGCCAGGGCAGTCAGAGATTCTTATGTCTACCAGCAAAAAGTGTTGGAGTGGGAAAGCTAAGGAAAGTCCTGAGTCCAAGCCCTAATGTTACTATAAATAATTCCAAACAACAAAAGTTCCAAAACAAACAAAAATAAAACAAAACCAGAAGTAAAGCCTAAGCTAAATAAGTTGTCTTTGAATTTAACAACTGTATGATACATAAAATTGTAAATGTTCTCACATGAATTTTATATATTATCCCATTTAGTTTAGCTACATCTTTAACTATAAGGTTAATATTTGTAGGAAGAATGACATTCTACTACAATTAATGTGTATTTTAACACAGAGACACACACATACTTCTCCATTTATATCTGTGTAACTAGTACGGAAGAATTAAACTTCTAGCAAAAGTTTATGCTAATAACATAAAGTCTACCTGTATTTTTAAAGCACAAGATTTTTAAATTTAATTATTATGATACTACTTAGGATATTATTATTAAGAAAAAATGGTTATATACGAACTTCAAATGTTTTAATTTTGCAATATGTATGTGCTGACGACACTTAAGTCTTAAAAATACAATTTAATGAAGTATTAAGAATAAAAAAAGCTGTTTTACAATGTTGTAATGATAAACTAACAACTTCACTTACCAGTGTAAACTGATCATAGATTTGGATTAGATCCTCCATTTTGTACTGTTCAAGTACCACAAAGTTTTCCAAATTTCGACTTGATTTTTGTGCACAATCATGGCAATGTATTTCATATGTCTTTTTAGAATTGCTTTCATTAGTGACAAAAAGCAGGTTAAAAACTTCTACCTTTTTACACAAGAGGAAAAAAAAAGGAATAAGATAATAATTAAATTTTGAACCAGAGAATTCTATTGAAAATACTGATACTTAAAAATCATGATTGTGTATGATATACCACATCATTTCACAGCATAAGCAAGACAAGAGTGGTGTTTGTACATTTAGAAATTTTCACTAAAAGATAGTCTTGATTTTACTTTTATTTTTCTCTTAGATTATTAAGTACATGTATAAAAAAGTTTCAGTTCTGTAAGTCAGAATGTAGTTTATCTGTTTCCCAGTCTTAACTTATATATAGTTATACAGTTCAAGTTTTAGACAATATGCACTGAGTACATTGACTATATTTACTTCTTTTCCCTCTCACCTACCCTCGGCCTTTTAAACATGCTTCTATTTCCAAACATTCTTTTTCTATCTCTAAAAATAAACCAAGTTTAAAAGTGTTTAACAGATGGCATCTATGGATTTCACTATTTCTTTTGATTTTGAGAACATTTCACAGTAATGTTTAATTAGATCTACATTTTATTTAGAAATGACAAATAATAAATTGATGGTGATGCCTCTCATTCTATCCTTTGTAGAGTCTGTGATTGGTATAATAGGTCTAGAATAGTCCAATCAATAAAGTTCTTGACACCCTGTATCAACAGAAATAAGGAGTAAAGGTACATGCTTGCCATCCAAGCTACACTGAAAGAATAAATAGGAGGACTGTGGTCCAGGCTGGCTTGGGGAAAAAGAGCTGGAATCATAATCCAAGCAATAGAAGACCTGTATAGTAAGAGAAAGAGAAAGGGGGGAAAAAGAGAGGGTGAGAGGAGAGGGGAGAAGAAATGTACAGTTACTTACCTCACAGATGTTACAGTAAGAAGCTGGTTCTTTTTTTGACCGTCCATGCCATAGAACCTCTTTTCCTGATGCAAGAAGAGCCTCTCTCAATGCCTGACATTGCTTTAGAACTTTCAGAAGACAATACCTATTGCACAGAGAAGAATAGGATACCAAATAAAGATACAAGAACTAAACAAAAAGTAGTGACTAGCAAAAACAATCCTTAATAGAAAGAACAGTGCTAAAGGAAGATCAATATCAAATTTCAAACTCTACTATAAAGCCATAGTAATCAAAACAGCTTAGTACTGGCACAAGAACAGACCTCAGGACCAATGGAATAGAATTGAAAATCCAGGGCTGGGAAGGTGGCTCAGTGGTAGAGCGCTTGCCTTGCATGCCTAAGGCCCTGGGTTCGATTCCTCAGCACCACGTAAGCAAAAAGGAAAAAAAAAGCAGGAAGTGGCACTGTGGCTCAAGTGGTAGAGTGTTAGCCTTGAGCTGAAGAGCTGAGGGACAGCCCCCAGGCCAGAGTTCAGGCCTCATGACCAGACACACACACACGCACACACAACCACACACACACACACACACACACACACACACACACACACACACACGAATTGAAAATCCAGAAATGAACCCACAGACCTATAGCCATCTAATCTTTGATAAGGGAGGGAGCTAAAAAAAGTAAAATGGAAGAAAGCTTCTTCAGTAAATGGTGTTGGCAAAACTGGTTAATCACTTGTAGAAAATGAAAGCTATATCCTTATATATCACCCTGTAGCAGAATAAACTCCAAATGGATCCAAGACCTAAGAGTCAAAGCAGAAACCCTGAAAACATTACAGGAAAGAATAGGAGAAATCCTAGGTCTCTTTGGCACAGGCTGAAATTTTCTTAATAGAGACCTAGAAAGACAACAAATCAAAGAAAGGTTGGACAAATGGGATTGCATAAAATTGCAGAGCTTCTGCATGGCAAAGGACATAGTTATCAAGATCAATAGAAAGCCCACAGATTGGGAGAAGATTTCACTAGTCATACCTAAAATATACCTGGAACTCAAAAAATTAAATCCCCCAACAACAAATCCTCAAAGAAGCAACTGCCCGATAAATAATGGGCTTATTTAGACTTAAAGAGAAACTTTTCTGAAGAGGAAAGAAGGATGGCCAATAGACACATGAACAAATGCTCAACCTTAAAAGAAATGAATAAAAGAAATGCAAATCAAAACAACATTGGATACCACCTCACCCCAGTTAGAATGGCTATAATCAAGAACTCTTAATAACAACAGATGCTGGAGGGGATGTGGACAAAAGGGAACCTTTCTGCATTGTTGGTGGGAGTGTAAACTTGTTCAACCACTTTGGAAAACAGTATGGAGGATCCTCAAAAGTCTATACAGAGAGCTCCCCTATGACCCAGCAATCCCACTTTTGGGCATTTACCCAAATGATCAAACAAGGCCACACTAAAGCTACCAGCATGACTATGTTTACTGCAGCATTATTTACCATAGCTAAGATATGGAACCAACCCAGATGCCCCTCAGTAGATGAATGGATCAAGAAAATGTGGTATATATACACAATGGAATTCTATGCCCCCATCAGAGAAAATGCCATTGCCCCATTTGGTAGGAAATGTAAAGACTTGGAAAAAATTATACTAAGTAAGCCAGGCCCAAAGAAACATAAGTCCCATAGTTTCCTTTATTTGCAATATCTAGAATATGTTTGAGACAAGCAGAAAAGGTCAGATATGATGATGTTAAGCGAGATGAACCCCAAGATAAGGACACGGTTTTTTTTTTCTTTCTTGCTATTGTTTCTAATGTATTTATAAGATATGATGTTGAGTTTTTTGTTGCTATGTATGTCCCTCCCCCACGGTATGATCCCTGTTTTCACTATATTTGATGTTGATATAATTTGGGGAGCAGAAGGAAAAAAAATGTTAAAACATGGATACAGGTTGACCCATTGCAACAATCAGATGTACAAGATGCTATGTCGAAAAATGAACTTTACAAATTAGGTGGAGTGGCGGGGGGAGTATAGTTGTGGAGACGGGAGAGACAGGATGATAGAGGAAAAACAAAGGAGGCAGCAATGCTTGATTAGAAATGTATTCATTACCTTGCTCATGTAATTGTTATTTCTCTGTACAGTATTTTCACAATAAAAAACTATTTAAAAAAATTATACTATGAAGCCATCATAAGCCTCATCCCAAAACCAGGCAGGGACTCATCAAAGAAAGAGAACTATAGACCCATTTCTTTGATGAACATTGATGCAAAACTTCTCAACAAAATTTTGGCCAATCGACTTCAACAATTCATCCAAAAAATCATACACCACGATCAAACAGGATTCATTTCAGGGATGCAAAGCTGGTTCAATATACACAAATCAATTAATATTATTCATCACATCAACAGGAGCAAGAATAAGAACCACATGGTTATCTCAATAGATGCAGAAAAAGCATTCGACAAGATCCAACACCCCTTTATGATGAAGGTTTTGGAAAAATTAGGAATCCATGGAACATTCCTCAATACAATAAAGGCTGTATATGACAAACCTACAGCCAGCATTATACTCAATGGTGAAAAACTAAAGCCATTTCCTCTTAACTCAGGAACAAGACAAGGATGCCCACTCTCTCCACTTCTCTTCAATCTAGTATTAGAATGCCTAGCTACAGCAATAAGACAAGATGCAGACATAAAGGGGATCCAAATAGGGGAAGAAGAAATAAAACTCTCCCTCTTTGCAGATGACATGATCTTGTATTTAAAGAATCCCATAGACTCCACTCCCAAATTACTCAAGCTGATTCAAAACTTTGGCAAAGTAGCAGGTTATAAAATTAACCCCCAAAAATCAATGGCTTTTCTGTATGCCAACAATGAGAAAAGTGTGGCTGAAATTAGGAAAGCAACTCCATTTGTAATAGCCCCACAAAAAATAAAATACCTCGGAATTAACTTAACTAAAGAAGTGAAGGACCTCTATGATGAAAACTTTAAAATCTTGAAAAAGGAAATCAACACAGAACTTAAAAAATGGCAAAACCTCCCATGCTCCTGGATTGGAAAGATTAACATCGTGAAAATGGCAATACTTCCCAAGGCTATTTACAAATTCAACGCAATACCTATCAAAATTCCACCCTCATTCTTCAAGGAAATAGAAGAAGCAATCCAAAAATTCATATGGAACAATAAAAGACCCCGAATAGCAAAAACGCTCCTCAACGGAAAGAACACTGCTGGAGGAATATCAATACCAAATTTCAAACTCTACTATAAAGCCATAGTAATCAAAACAGCTTGGTATTGGCATAAGAACAGACCTCAGGACCAATGGAATAGAATTGAAAACCCAGAAATGAACCTACAGACCTATAGCCATCTAATCTTCGATAAGGGAGCTAAAACAATAGAATGGAAGACAGACAGCCTCTTCAGTAAATGGTGCTGGCAAAACTGGTTAACTACATGTAGAAAACTAAAGCTAGATCCTTATATATCACCCTGCACCAGAATCAACTCCAAATGGATCAAAGACCTTGAACTCAAAGCAGACACTCTGAAAACATTACAGGATGGAATAGGAGAAACCCTGGGTCTCCTTGGCTCAGGCCGAAATTTTCTGAATAGAGACCCAGAAACACAACAAATCAAAGAAAGGTTGGACAAATGGGATTGTATAAGGTTGCAGAGCTTCTGCAGGGCAAATGACATAGCTAGCAAGATCAATAGAAAGCCCACGGACTGGGAGAAGATCTTTACTAGCCATACAACGGACAAGGGTCTCATATCTAAAATATACTTGGAACTCAAAAAATTAAACCACCCAACAACAAATCCTCAAAGAAACAACTGCCCAATAAGTAAGTGGGCTAAAGACTTAAAGAGAAGCTTCTCTGAAGAAGAAAGAAGGATGGCCAATAGACACATGAAGAAATGTTCAACATCCCTAGCCATAAAAGAAATGCAAATCAAAACAACATTGAGATATCACCTCACTCCAGTTAGAACGGCAAAAATCAAGAACTCTAACAACAACAGATGCTGGAGGGGATGTGGACAGAAAGGAACCTTACTTCATTGTTGGCGGGAATGTAAACTTGTTCAACCACTTTGGAAAGCAGTATGGAGGTTCCTCAAAAGACTTCACATAGATCTCCCCTATGACCCAGCAATCCCACTTTTGGGCATTTACCCTAATGTTTACAAACGAGACCACACTAAAGCTACCAGCACAACTATGTTTATTGCAGCATTATTTACCATAGCTAAGATATGGAACCAACCCAGATGCCCCTCAGTAGATGAATGGATCAAGAAAATGTGGTATATATACACAATGGAATTCTATGCCTCCATCAGAAAGAATGACATTGCCCCATTTGTTAGGAAATGGAAAGGCTTGGAAAAATTTATATTAAGTGAAGTAAGCCAGGCCCAAAGAAACATAGGTCCCATGGTTTCCCTTATATGCAATATCTAGTATATGTATGAGTCAAGCGGAAAAGGTCAGATAATGTGATGTCAGGAAAATGAACCCTTAGATGTGTATTTTAATGTTTTTTTTCTTTCATGCATGTGTTTCTAACACATTTATAAGATTATCTCTTTGTTGCTTTGTATGTCCCTCCTCCACAGTATAACCCCTGCTTTCACTATATTTGATGTCAGTATAACTTGTGGAGGAGATGGGGAAAAACCAGTTGTTTAAGGATACAGGTGGACCTGTTGCAACAATGAGAAGTGCAAGTTGTCATGTCCAAAACGAGCTTTACAACGTTGGTGCAGGGGGGGGGGGGGGTGGGGGTGGGGGGGGGAGGACAAGGATTGGGATTAGGGGGGGAGGGGGGAGGCTGGGAAGGGATGTGAAGGATAAACAAAGGAGGAGGCTGCAATGCTTGGTAAGAAATGTACGCATTATCCTGCCCATGTAACTGTAACTCCTCTGTACAGTATGTTCACAAATAAAATTAAATTAAATTTAAAAAAAAATTATACCCCTTAATATGTACTCATGATAAGTTTTCATTTAATCACAAAAAGAAGGCTAAGAAAAGACAAAATTAAAGTTAAAAAGAACTAAGGGCTTTTTG